TTATTATTATATATATATTACACACATGCCACATATTCAGGAAATTAAATCATTCTCCACCTTTAGTACTCATGAGGCTCCAGAACTCTCACTTAGTATTCCAGCCTGAAAAACGTGTTTTTCTTCTCCATGTCTCTGGTTTTATTCCCTATTTTCCCACCTCAAAGTATGGAAATAAATAGTGTCATAAATATTTGAAATCATAACTTAGTATTTCAACTACTTTTTGCACAGTTCTCTTATAAAGGAATTCTCCATGACCACCCTTCCCATTTTGTATATAAGGACACATGGTCCAGAATATTTTTTTTCCTCCTAAAATTCTTTTATTGGTACATTTTAGGTATAAAATACATTTACATTTATCATTGGGTGCTTGTACCTGTACATGATGTATCTTGGTTTTTATTTCTTTTCCCCATTACCTGTGAGCCCTTCACCCCCTCCATCCTTCCCTATTTCCATAGACTTCGTTTCCATTTTTTTTTTCTTTTCTCATAATTTTTCCTTTCCCCTTCCCCTCCCACCATGCCTACCCCTTTGGCCTTTTTCCTATTTCAAAGTATCAATTATTCATTATTAATCCTTTTGATCCTTATCTACGCTTTCAGTTTCTCACACTAGAGAAACTATTCCGTGTTTACACATGTGTATCCTATTTATTTCACTTACGAGTATGGCCTCGGTATGCATCCATTTAGTTATAAATGATTCTACTTTCTTGTTCTTTATGGCTGAGTAGTACTCCATTTTATTTTAAAAAACCCACATCTTCTTTATCTAGTTTCCAGTTGATGGGGAATTGGGCTGCTTCCAAGCTTTAGCTATTACAAATTGTGCCACTATGAACATGGGTGCACGTGTATCAATGTGGTATGATTCTTTTAATTCTTTTGGGAAGCTACCCAGCAGGGGAATAGCTGGGTCAAATGGGCCCTCTAGCCCTAGTTTTTTGAGGTATCTCTATACTGATATCCATAGTGGTTGCACCAGTCTACACTCCCACCAACAATGGAGAAAGGTTCCTTTCTGCCCACACCCCTGCCAGCATTTGTACAGGTTGATTTCTTGATAGCAGCCATTCTTTGTGGGGTGAGGTGGAATCTCAGTGTTTTCATCTGCATGTCTCAAATGACCAGTGATGTTGAACATTTTTTCATGTATTTATTTGCTGCTTTTGCTTCTTTGCCTGAGAAATGTCTGTTCATTTCAGATGCCCATTTTTGAATTGGGTCTTTGAATTTGGAGGGTCTAATTTTTTTGAGTTCTTTATATATTCTAGACAGTAGTCCTTTGTCTGAGGTACAGGTGGTAAAAAATATTTTCCACATAGTAGGTGGTCTCTTAGCTCTGTTGGTTGTTTCTCTTGCAGTGCAGAAGCTTTTTAATAAGATGAGATCCCAGTTGTTGATTCTTTGTGCTAGTTCCTGTGCTACTGAGGTTTTGTTCATAAAGACATAGTCCAGAATATTAAATGATTAACCTGATTAAGGTTGTACTGCTTGTAGTTTTAAAATCTGGAAACTAAAGCCAGAAGTTTTTCTACACCCTCATCATGTAACTCACTGATTCACACACAGTATTTAAAAGGCAATATCCAGCTTGATTTTTAAATTTGTTATGCCTTATTTTGCATCATACAAAAAAATCATCTCAAAATGGATAAAAGACCTAAATATAAGATCAGGGACCATAAAATTCCTAGAAGAAAATATACAGAGAGAATTTCTGGACACTGCCCTTGGCAATGATTTTTTTGGATATGGTGTCAATAGCTCAGGCTTCAAAGCAAAAATAAATAAATGAAACTACATCAAACTAAAAAACTTCTGAACAGCAAAGGAAATAATTAACAAAAGAAAATGACAACTTACGGACTAGAAAAAAATATTTGCAAACCACATATCTCATAAGAGGTGAATATCCAAAATTCATAAATAATTCTTAAAGCTGAACAGGATAGAAGGAAGCAACCAGCTAAAACTTGGGCAAATAAGAAATTAAAAACAGAACTACCCCATGACCTAGCAATCCTGCTTCTGGGCATAGACCCAAGAAAGATGAAGTCACCACTTGGTAAAGGTGTTCACCGCAGCATTATTCATAATAGCCGAGATATAGCAACAATCCAAGTGTCTATCAACAGAAAAATGGATGAAGAAATATGGTACATATGTACAGGGGAAAACTAGTCAGCCTTTAAAAGAAGGGGAGAGGGATTTTGCCATTTGCCACCATGCAAATGAATCTGGAAGACATTTTGCTAAGTGCAAAAAGGTAGACACAGGAAAAGAAAGGTTGCTTAATTTTATTTGTATATTGAAACCTTTTTGAAAGAGAAAATATATGGAGATAGACAATAAAAATGTAGTTAACCAGGGGCAAGGATGGAGAAAGGAAGTCAAAGAATACAAAGTAACAGATATATAGGATGAACAATTCCAGAGATATACATCATGTTAATGTTAATATTACTTAACATTAGCATTAACATTAGTTAATTTTCACATTAGCATCAACATTAGTTAACATTAAGTACAGTTAATCAAATTTTATTGTTTGAGATGTTTTTGCTGTTGCCAAATAAGTAAATTTTAGCTGCTCTTGTCACAGCAAAACCAATTATGTGAGATGAATATTAGATACATTAATTTATTCAACTACGATAACAATCTTGTTTATGTATCTCATAACATGTAAATATAAATTTACAAAATTAACTTTAAAAATATAAATTCTATAGCAATAAGTCTACAATGTTCAAAAATATAAAACTCCAACAATATTTGATATTAATGAGTCATTTTCATTAGGCTGTTGCCTGGTACACTCCTATTCACTGGAAGCAAGTGTGGAAAAAATTAGAGACCGACATTGAATTTAACAGAAGTTCAGTAGTAACACCTACATTCCGAAGGCATATGCTTTTGTGGACAACATATTCAAACCCAATAAATGAAGAAAAACAAGATCAAACTAAGGAAGATACCTCAGAACGTGACCAAAAACAAGTGCAATTTCTTAAGAGGTAAAGGATGTTTTGTTTTGTTTTTGGTTTGTTTTATTGAGTTCTTTCCCCAATTAATAACTGAGCATGTGGGAATGTCTGGGTGACAGATATGTGATGAATAAATAAATCTACTATAGTTTTGAAACAATGATTTTTTTATAGGGCCCATAATGGAAAACTTAAAAACAGAGTAAGCAAGCAGTTACATACTTTTAAGCAATAAAAGCTAATGGCCTTTGATAAGTAATATTGAAGTCCTATGGCCACTTTGCTTTTCCCTAGCACCATAATTTGAGGCAAGGCTGCTAAGGAGGGGTTGAGAGTGGAGGTTGTCCCCCAGGTCTTTAGCAGTGAGTAAGTGAAGAGACAGAGATGCATCCCCTAGGAATTTTATCGTGGATCCAGAGCTGGCTGTGGACAGAGGTGCTGAATTCATTTGCAGCCAAATACTTCTGGGGTTACAATAAATGTTCTGTTCACAAGATCTAGAAAAATCACCACTCTCTTAGTTTTAAAACTCATTTTCACTTTAATCACACCTTCAATACTAATGTCACTACATAAAATGCCTTTGAGATTCAATTTGGAATTTTCTCTTACAGAGAAAAGGAAATGCCACCAACCCTTTTCCCCAACCACAGTCCTTGGTGCAACAGTCCCTATGTGCCTGCACATCCCTACTGCTCTCTGATTAGACCAAATGATGAATATACTACTACTAGAACCAGCTCAGATAGACAGCCCCAGTCTCAGTCAACCAGGGCTGATCCAGCTCCAGGTAAGTTGAAAGGGTACTGACTCCAGTGGAGAGTAAGCAGTGTTTGTGTGTTCTTGGTAAATAATAGAAAGTATTCATTCAGTTTCTCAAGCAAAGTTCTAGTTCAGAGTCTCCCACAGTTCTTGATAAATATCTTTTGAATGAATCAATGAATCAAACAAACAGCATGGCTCCCAAGACTACCTATGATTCTTGAACCTCTGTTTAAAACATATTTTGTTTTTTCATCAGGCAGGAAAAATTGCTCCTACAAGTTATGCTGTGCTAAAAATATCCATCTTTTCCAAATTCACTCCAATATTATTCCCAAATTCATATTCTTTATCGACCAAAATTTCTTAAATTCTACAAATTAAACTTTTAGAGTTGGTAGTAGTAATCCAGGATCTGTGAATGGATTTCTGGAAGTCCATGAACCTATTAAGTTTGATGCAAAAGTATGTGCCTATATTTTTTTTTTCTGAGAACAGAATTGTAAGAACTTTTCTTTGATTTCTATGCCAAAAGATGACTACTAAGAGACATGTTGTGAATGAGTAAATTGATGATTGATTAGATAGAGCAATCCTTGAATCACCAAGTCATTTATTTGAAAGAATGTATAATAAGATTCTTCAAGGCAAAGTTATATAGTTTGTTAATATCTAGTACTTTTAAAATTTGTACTATTTGGTATTATTAGCAAACACTCAATAACTGGCAAAGAAAAAACAGATGCAACAAAAATTTACCACTTTTCTTGTAGGTTCCTCAATCTACTCCTTTCACCCAATAATAGTAAATAGGCTAGTTTTTTCAGTTACAGAATGAAGAACCATAGATGGAAAAAATTGTTGCCTTGTTTTTAACTATCTTTCTTAAATTTACTGGAGAGGAGGCTAGAAACTAACAAAGTAAACTTCAAGAAAAATCTACCATATTTATACATACCAACCATATTTTGTTTGTAAAAATATATTAAATACAGAAAATATAGAGTATAATATAAAAAACATCTATATTCTAACATTCAGGGCTAATGTATGTTAACATTTTGTCACATTTCAAAATCTATAAATTCAAAGTTTCTTCTGATCATCTTTCTGGTTTTGACTTGATATTGGAATAAGTCATGCTGATCCTCATTTTTACACTTTAATCACATATATCAGAATCTATAAACTATGTATAAGTGATGCCTTTTTAATATTCTTATGTGGCATCATGCTAAATGTGCCTTCTCTTTTTTACATAATAGTATAATTTGGGTAATTTAACTATAATTATATAGACAGACCTAATTCAATCATGTTAGCTGCTATATAGTATTTCAAGAAATAATCTTACTATGCTTTCTCGTCTTCTCTATTAATATTTTCCTCTATTGCAATGTAGATGAAAATTTTGTATTACTGCAGTGATTATCCCAAAACATGTCTACTTTATACATGTATAAAACTTTCTTTGAAGTTTTCACTCAAACTTAAAATCTGCCATAATCTTTATGTGAATTTGCTCAATTATGTGGCATGTGTATCTTCAACAAGATTGTGCCAAACTTCTCTAGAAGGAGTGTTGCTAATTTATGTTCCTACCAAAATTGTAAAGGGTTTCCCATTTCCATTACTCTCACTTTTATATTGCCATAGTTTTTAATTATTTGTTAACCAAGTGGATGTTAATAACAGTTCATTGCTGTTTTAATGTGAAATTCCTCTTTAACAGATAATACTTCTTTTCATATATAAAAACAGAAAATTCCCCCATCTCTTATTAATAAATTTATGTGCTTTATAATTTTAAATTTTGTGTATGTTACTCTAAATTCCCTATTTTGTCAACAAATTGTAAAAGTAATGATTTATATTAGACTTTAATAAATCAAGGACACATAGTATAACCTAGATGAGAAAGAATAGCATGTTATATTTGTGACATGATGTCATACTTTCATAATCAGTTCAAAATATATAATTTTTCTGATATATGAGTTACTTGGTAATATCACATCACAAACAAAATGGGTTTATTTTAATACTACAAGATTGGTTTGAACTTTAAAAATTAATCAAATATCCACTCACTAAAAAAAGGAAAATTATACAATGATTTCAATAAATGCAGAGAGAAAGAGCTTTATAAAATTCAATACCCACCCATGAGGGAGAAAACCTTTAAAAACAGGACAATGCATTTCCTTAACCTGACAAATGGTATCGATAAAAATCCTAAAGCAAGCTATCATACATATTATTGAAGGGTAGTAGAAGTCTTTACCTTAAGGTCCAGAGCAAGACAAGAATTCTCCTTATGATGACTTCTACTCAACACTGTACTAGAAGTCTGAGTGCAAAAGGTAAAAACAAATGGGTATACTTATATTTCATCACCCCATAACTCAGTAATTTCACTCCTGTGAACTATGTATGCCTAACAATATATGTATATACATATATACATCAAAAGACATACTAATAGTCGCAGCAGCTATATTGTCATAGCCAAACACTAGAAACAATCCAGTTGTTCAGCAATATAATGGATAAATTGTCACTTATTTATACAATGAAAAATGAGCAACTACTGCTATGTGCAGCAACATCAATAAATCTCAAGCATAATATAGAGCAAAATATGTCAAAAAAGAATAATTCCATGTGTACAAAATTTGGGAACATAAAAAACTCTACCATGATATCAAAGATCAGAATAACTGTTATCTCTGAAAGGAAGAAAGAGTATTTGGAGGACACTAAAAACAATGCTTCCAGAATACAGACAGTGATTATGTTTACTGATCTGAGTAGTGTTATAAATGTGTTACTATTTACATCATGCTGTGATTCCTGATTCATGAGCTTTCCTGTGTGTATGTGATAGTTAAATAAAAATTTACTTTAACATTGTGATGACAAGAAAAGAAAAATAGGAAAAAAAGAAAGCTTGGTTATAGTAGTGAGTGATGATTGTTCCCTGACAAGGAAAGAGAAAGAAACCTTAAAAATAATACACTGATGAACTCAGAAGGAATATTATGTGATGAGTGTTGTTTAGTATAGGAAAAAGATAATCTTACCACAAATAAGCCTAAGCCTATCATTACATTACAATATGTTGAAAATTAATTTTAATATGGTTTGTTATATAGCTCAGACATTTCCAAGAATACCTCATGGGGGAAGGGGCTTCTGGGCCACCATCCCTTCCACCACTCCCGGCCCAGAGGGAGGGGCTTCTGAGCCACCATCCCACTGCTCCTGGTCCAGAGGAAGGGGTTTCC